TTTTTTGGTCTTTATGGATCCAAAGAAGTCTTCCTCATCAGACAGGCTGCTGTTTGTGCCGTTGTCATCATCAGCATCAGTGTCCAAGTGTTCCTTGATGTAGTCTAGGCTTGTAACAATATATTTTGTAAAGTATTACTTTTGCACACTTCTGCATTATTTATAGTACATATGTGTATTTTTTGTGAGCATGCTCATGCACATGCACAGATGTTTTTATATTTACCAGATTTTAAGATGTTCTCATCTGTAGTCCAGTTTGGTCTGAATTTATGAGCTCAGGTTCTTTCATTATCTCAGCAAATCATTTCTGAATCCCTTCCTGCAGGGCATCAATGAGAGGTGCACACACTTTGCAAGATGATACCAGCTTCTTCAGCTTGTCTCGCAACTGGTGTAGAGTTGGCAGGAGGAAGCCCATGTGCACAGATGATTCCCCTTGAAGAATGTTGAGCGCCATGGCAATAGGTTTCATCACAGCAACATACTCAGCCAGAAATCCCATTTCAGCTGGATTCAACCTTTAAATGAAAAACAGATTTTAGTTTTTGTTGGTACTGTACATTAAATGTGCACAATGCATGTTTTTCTAACACATACATACAATATAAAAGTTGATGAACATTTTTATCAAGTCTTATTAGAAACACGGTTTTACTATGTAAGAAAATTCGTATTCAATAAACTGAAGTCGATATTAAAAACGCCATTGTTAAATAAAATGATTTGTAGAATGAATCAAACCATACAACACCAGAACTCTGGATCTGAGTGAGGTTTATTGTCATTCAAGCTGACAGGAAACCAACACTCCCGAAAAACCAGGAAGTTTATCTGTTTATACAGGTTCTTCAATGCCTGCGTTCGCCCCCTACTGACCTACGGCTGAATCACAGGCATTCAGACAAAATCCTCAGCTCATGTCATCACAACGTTTAATTATGTGTTGTCACAGATATTTCGGACTAATCTATTATCAATCAAAACATACGAGATTAAACACTGTCAACATTACAAAAAGGAAAACCTAAGAATATAGTGATGTGCTTTTAACATCAGTACAAACCTCTAATAACTTCAAATTTCTTCAACTATTTTAAGTATTTGTATGTAATATTAACAYGAGTTTTGCCAACTTACATCTTGATATGCAAGGTTGTACATACACTGTGAAATGCAGCTTCTCTCTGTTCCTTGTGAATACGCACCAGTCTTTACACAGCTAGGAACACAACAGTTTGATTAGGCCGAAGGAACTGCAGTTTGCATTCACGTTCAACAGTTTCAAACCCCTTGCTTGACCTGCTCGTTTTATTCCACAGAGCAGTACRTTTAGCAAAAGCAGATCGAGATAGAATTCTATAGGTTTCATGTCCCACTTCTGCATGGGTGGCATCAACTGTTGATATATAAGATTCAGCAGATGGCATGCACATTTTTGGTGTTTTGGAAGTTGGTACTCAAGGCTAGTGTCATCATTCAGAATGACAGTGATGTGAGTATCAGTCACATGGAGGCAGTGCTTAAAAGCCTGAATTTTGCCTGAAACTCTCAGACTGAAGAAGTCTCTTGGAGGAGAGACGAAACGTTTCATTAGAGAAGAACCCATCCAGAAAACTATACAATTTTTTTCTTTTTGAACCTGATGATCCATCTCTGACTCACTTTCATCTTCTGATGCTTCGTCCACGATGGAGTCTTTCTCCTTTTGTCTGCTGACATCTTTATCTTCTTTTTCATCCACACCACACAAACGAACGGCTTTCAAGAAGTTAGAGCCACTGGTGTCGGTCTTTTCTGCTCAGATTCAGCTATCGGGGCATGAAGCTAACGTTTACTCACAATGCTAATGCTACCCTTAACTCTCTGGCGCTCAAGCGGTGGAGGAGCCAAATGGCTGGCTCACTGCTGCCAACTAGCAGTCAGAGGCTGAACTACAACATAAAATGAACGGCTGGCAGGAATGTTGACATTTTAAACCTTTAATAAAAAATCAATACAGGGCTTTAGAATATCGATACAGTATCGGGAAATGAAATATCTCGATATTTCAATGTATCAATGTTTTCTTACACCCCAATCCACGTCATCATTTACCCAGAATGCTTTGTGCGTAAATAAAATGGCACCGTCCGTGTAATATATTTTTAAACTTTAAGGTTAAAAATTATAAAAACTAAACAGCATTGTATATTATTACGTGTATTATTACAGTCTTTATTTTACAGTTAAAATATATGTTTATTAAATAAAGTCTAATGTTACAACTAATTGTGGATCCCTTTAAGGTGGTGTCTACCCTGAGAACATGTTGAGATTTCACAGGGGAGATTTAGAATGTTTCTGAAGGAAAGGGTGTTTGGATTCCTCTCCTAAAGCTGTTAAATCTACAGCCAGATCACAGGAAAGAGACAGAAAATGTCTGAATAATACACATCAGTAGGGATGAGCGATGGGGTCGTAAAAGTCAAACACGGAATTTTCTGGTATTTATTACAGTAACAATAAATGACCTTTTTGAGCCATATATGACTGCAGAAAGTCTAGAAACACAAAGCCAAAATTAAAATCTTGGTCTTAGTCACTCTAGACTGGACTGAAACTGAGAATGCTACTGTACTTATGACACGACCTTTGTCCTCCTGTGACTCCTCCCTCAGAGTCCTTTTAGCAGCTGTGAGTCCGTACTTCCGGGCCATGTTCACCAGCCCTCTGGTGGAGTCCCGTCTCACTGAGATCCGTCTGGAGGAAGTAACGCCGTCCATCATGGAGACTGTCATCCAGTTTGTGTACACCGGTGAGGCCGGGCTCTTTCTGGACACGGCCGAGGACTTGTTCGTGGCTGCCAACCGGCTTCAGGTCATGCCTCTACAAGACCTGTGCTCCAGGTGAACTTCACAGATTGTAGTTGGGCTGTAACTGCAGTTCATCCACCTGTTGTTGTTTTTTTTTAGACTTTAGGTGCAGCTAACAAAAGCAGCTACAGTAAATACAGTTGCATGAAAAAGTATGTGAACCCTTTGGGATTTCATGGATTTCTGAACAAATTGGTCATTAAATGTGTTCTGATCTTCATCGAAGTCACAACAATAGACAAACACAGTCTGTTTAAACTTATACCACACAAAAAATTATATGTTTGCATGGTTTTATTGAAATACTGATATTACATAAAAATAAACTACAGAAAGTTGTTAAAACCTCTCTTCCTTCAGACATTTGTTGGATAGTGATGCTGCAGGTTAAAGTGCATGTTTATTGACGGCTGGATGGTTTATTTTTGTATAAAGGCAAAACTGGAGGTTAAAACACAAGTTTCATGCCATGAATGTATTTAGTAGATGTACATTATGTTTGTTGTTTGTTGCACTTGTAAAATACAGCTAATTTAACCAGAGAACTCTGAATATCTTTATATTCAATGCTTTTTATTGAGTGACACACGTGTGCTTGGTTGTAATACAGTAGAATCCCCGAACCATTGCTTTTATTTTCGGTCTTAAATTTCATTCAAGGTGGTATTAAAAAGGTCTTAAAAAGTCTTAAATTTGACTTGTTAAAACCTGCAGATACCCTGAAATAAGACACCATGAGGTGGAATGATTTGTGGGAATAATGTCGAAATCCCAGCTACATTAATAAATATATGGATATATTTCTACACAAATGCTGTCAGAATGTATGGTTCTGTTTGGGAAGCAGATGTGTACACACACACGATACACATGGATTTTATTTTGAAATCAGAAGTTTCAAAAAGACGACAGCTGTACGGTTTCAACCATAGATTATCAAAAGCTTTTATATTAATTTTTCTGCTGTGTTTACAGTTCGTCTTTCACAGAATTAATTATTTTTTGCTCTGACTTCCACATTTATCACTGGACTTATCACATAATCTCCTTACTGCACACCCTCCCTACTCTGTGTGTGGGACCGGAGCAGACGCTGTATAAATTGGGGTGCAAACAAACAGCTGTGCACTGCAGCGGAGCGGAGCAGAGCCGCATGTAGTGTAAATCCGGGGTTACCGTGGCCACATAAACATCAAGGCTTTTAGAGATATTTTTGTAACCTTTTCCAGCTTCATGCAAGTCAACAATTCTTGAACGTGGGTCTTCTGAGAGCTCTTTTGTACGAGGCATGATTCACATCGAGCAATGCTTCTTTTAGTGATCCCCGATTAGTTGTAACATTACAATTTATTTAATAAACATTTATTTTAACTGTAAAGACTGTAAAAATACTGTAGGCTGTTTAGTTTTGTAAATTTTTAAAAATATATTTTAACACGGACGGAGCCATTTTATTTACACACAAAGCATTCTGGGTAAATGTTGACGTGGATAGGTCCTCGGTGTGAGCGAGCTGTATCCACCCTGAAGGTTAAATCTTGGACAATATCTGACGATCGACTCAAATGAAACCAGAGAGCGTTGACAGAGAGGAGCAGGTAGAAATGACTCAGCCTGGAACTGAAAATATAGATGGAGGACAACAGAGCTGCTTCATGGAAGAAAAACCTCAGCTTAGCCTGTTAGCCTTTGCGCTAGCGCCAACACTATATTGCCTTATATGTATTAGCTCAGCGCTAGCACGGCAAGCTAATGAGCTAAACTGAGGTCCTCCATCCATATTTTCAGTTACAGCTGAGTCATTTTTGGATTCCTCTCTCTGTCGTGAATGGATCGAGGACCTCGGTGCTGAGGCGAGAATTTGTAGCACCGAGCTAATACATGTATATCGTGATAGTGTTGTGGCTAATACTAAAGCTAACAGGCTAAGCTGAGGTTCTTCTTCCAAGAAGCAGCTCTGTTGTCCTCCATCTATATTTTC